GCTCAGGCACGCGGGGGGCGGGGGCGGGGAGCGGGCGCGGCGCTTAAAGGGGCCGCAGAGCGGTGGGCGGTGCGGCGCGGCTGCGGTGGGCGCGGACGGGTGCGGCTCTGTGAGCCTCACGGGGTTCCCAAGATCGCGGGAGAGCAGCTGGGCCAATCTTTGTTCTTTTGAGACAAAGCCCTTGAACTTGGGCCCCTGTTTTGTACAGGTGCAAGGGCTCCTTAATAAAAGACTCTTTAAAAACGTGAAGTTGCTGTTTGACAGGGTTAATTTGAATTGCACAACACCGAACGCATAAACGTTTCTGCCGTATCCACATTAGGTTTCTTCGTTTCTTTTTGTTTGGGTCTGGTTTTGCTTTTATAATTCACAGGTTATTATTTATTCGAATCATTTGTTCCTTTTGGCATGTTGAGCCGCCATACCATGGTGATTATATAAAAAGTTACATATGAAATGTTAAAGTGCTCTTTTTAAAAATATGTCATTTACTGCATAGCCTTGTGAATTTAAGAAACAAGGAATGTAACAAGGAATGTGCTTTCCTAATACATTTTTATTAGTCAAGGTACATAAGTACCTGATATCAACAGCCATATTATTTAGTTTGAGACAAGAGAAAAATAAATGAGCTCATTTTTTGCTCAAACCTCGTCAGAACTTAATATGCAGGAGTCTCCAGTGATAGGGGGAAATTTTATCAGTCAAAGCAGCTTCTTGATCTATGTTTTATAACACTTGGCTCTGTTTCTCAGTAATAGAGATGAAGTTAGTAACCTGACTTCTCCAAGATGCTCCTTCCTGAGACCTGAACTATGTCCCAACCCCCGCCCCCGCCCCCAGCCTCAAGTGGTGGTGGTGGAGGTGCTAGATGCTATAGAGTGAAATACGACTCATAGCGATCCAGTGAACAACACATCTGAATCCTGTCCTGTTCTGTGCCATCACCATCTTTGATACATTTAAGCCTGTTGCTGCAGTCACTGTGTCAACACATCTAGACGGGAGTCTTCTCTTTCACTAACCCTCTACCCTGTTTCTAAGTAATAGCTTCTCCTAGCAACATGTCCAGAATAAGAGAGATGAAACTTTGCCATCCTTGCCTCCAAGGAATACTCTAGCTGCACCTTTTCGAAGACATACCTGTTAGTTTTTATGGCAGTCCATGGGATATTCAGTACTATTCTCCAACGCTGCAACTCAAAAGCATCACTTTTTCTTTTGTCATCCTTATTCATTGTCCAGTTTTCAGATGCATAGCAAGTAATGGAAAAGACCATGGCCTGAATTAGGTGCACCTTAGTCTTCAAACTGACATCATTGCTCTTCAATGATTTTTAAAGGTCCCTGACAGCAGACTTGCCCATAACAATGTCTCCTTATCAACTGACTGCTGGTAGCAATGATGTTATTTGTGGATCAAAGCAAGATCTTTCTCCATCTATCCTGATACTGCCCACTGACCCAGTGGTGAGAACTTCTGTTTTCTTGATGTTAAGATGCACTCCATATTAAATAAAGCCTGTGGTCTTTGATCTTCTGCAGCAAGTGCTTCAGGTCTGGTTCACTTCTGCCAAGCAAAGTTGTATCATCTGCCTAACGCAAGTTGATGATGAATCTTCCTCCAATCCTGATGCCACGTTCTTCTTCCTAAACTCTGCCTTAAAAAAAAAACCCGACTGTTGCAACAATGAATGAATGAAAATCCAAAATCTCTGGAAATGTTCATTAAAACTAATAAAATTTAATAATAATTAAAAAAACCCGACTGCTGTTTGCTTAGCATACAGATTGAATAGGTATAGAGAAAGGATACACCCCTGGCACACACCCTTCTTGATTTTAAACCATACAGTGCTCCTTTGTTCCATTCAGACAACAGCTCCTTGATCTAGGTATAGATTTCATATGAGCACAATTAAGTCTTCTGAGATCCTCATTCTTCTCAATATTAGCCACAGTTTGTAATTACCCACACAGTCAAATGCCTTTGCATAGTCAATAAAACATGAATAGACATTCTGGTATTCTCTACATTCAGCCAGGATCTATCTGACATCAACAAGGATATCCCTGGTGCCACCGCCTCTTCTAAACCCAGCTTCAGCTTCCCTCAATGTGCTATTCCAGCCTATTTTGGATGATCTTCAGCAATATTTTGCTTGTATGTGATATTAATTATATTGTTTGATAATTTCCACAGTCTTTTAGATCACCTTTTTTTAGGAAAGGAAGCAAATATGGATCTCTTCCAATCAGTCATCTGGGGGGTAGAGGAGGCAGAGAATGGGCAGAGTAGATAGATAATGAACATTACAGTAGAACAGGTGAGGAGGAAAACTGAATGGAATATGTGATTAGGCATTATACATAGGACAACAACCTGGAACAAGGGGTGCATTGCTGGGTGGACTGGGAGGAGGAGAGGAAGAAGAAAATGTACAGCAAAAGGAAAAATATAAGTTAAAAAAAGGGTGACCTAAAAAAAATAGGAAAATTATCTACAGTAATAGTTACTATAACATGCAAGTAAAATTTTGCTAAAGGTAATTCAAAAACACTTAACAGGAAATTTTTTAAAAGTCAGATTCATAAGCATTTATCTGTATTTTATTGACTATGCAAAAGTATTTGACTGAATGGATCATAACAAATTATTAATAGCATTAAGAAGAATGGTAGTTCTGTAACACTTGTGTTCATGTGGAAGCTGTATATAGAACAAGAAGAATTTTTTTCAAGCAAACAAAAGGATTTTAAAATCAAGAAGACTAAGCACCTTTTACTAGATTATTTCATTTTTATGCTGGACAAATCACAGGAATTGGACTATATGAAGAAAAGCACAACATCTAGACTGGAGGAAGACTAACAACTTTCTATATGCGGATGGTACCACTTGCTTGTGGAAGAAGGCTTGATCTACTTACTGATATAGCTCAATGACAATATAGCCTTGAGTATGGATTATATTTCAAGAAAAAGAAAATAAAAATTCTCACAATTGACCCCTGAACAACGTGATGATGAACAGAGAAAAGATTGACATTGTCAAGGTTTTTGTTTTACTTAGATCCATGTTCAACACTCACAGAAGTAGCAGTCAAGAAATCATCTAATATTCCTTAGGCAAATCTGTTGCAAGAAATATCTTGAAAGTGCTGAAAAGTAAGGATGCTACTTTGAGGACTGATGTGTGCCCGAGCCAAACCATGGTATTTTTAGTTGCTTAATATGTATGTGAAAGAATGGATAAGGAAGAATGAAAGAGAGCTGATACCTTTGCAAAGAATATTGAATACACCGTGGAGTGCCTAAAGAATATACAAATCTGTCCTGGAAGAAGTGCTTACAGCATGTGCCTTAGAAGCAAGAATAGTGACACTTTGCCTCATATAATTAGAGCATTTTATCAGAAGGGTCAATCCCTGGAAAAAGACATCTTGCTTTGTAAAGAGTGAGTAAAAAGGGAAGACTTTTGATGGTCTGGATTGAAACAATAGCTGCAACAGGGGCTTAAGCATAATAGAGATATCAAGATAGCATAGGATGAGACGCACTTTGATTCTTTTGTACAGGGACATATTTTTGCTGTTAGGTACCAGTGAGTTGAGTACAACTCATAGCAATCAAATGGATCTGAACCCTTGCCTGTCCTATGCCATCCTCATCATCTCTGACATACTTACACCCATTTCTGGAGTCAAACAGTTGCTATAACTTGGAATTGACTTAATAGAACCTAATAATCAGCATAAAGGAAGGTCACTATAGATTTCTCCCATAAATGGCTGATGAGTATAAACTGCCAATGTTTTAGTTGGCAGCTAAGCATTTAGCCATTGCCCTAGCTCCTTTCCTGGTGGTGGTTGTTGTTATGTGCCTCAAATTGGAACTGACTTATAGTTACCCTTCAGTGGGTTTTCAGAGGTTATAAACACATGGGAGGAGATTGCCCATCTTCCTCCCGAGGAGTAACTGGTAGATTCAAACCGTCGGCCTCGGAGCTAGCAGAACAACCCCTTAGCCCATAGGCTACTAGAGCTCACTTTCTGGTTATAGTAGTAGTAGTAGTAGTAGTAGTAGTAGTAGTAGTAGTAGTAGTAGTAGTAGTAGTAGTTGTTATGTGCCTTCAAATTGCTTGAGACTCATAGCTACCCTATGAACAACAGCTCTGAAACCTGCACTGTCCTGAGCCAGTCTCACTGATTCCTACACACGTACCCTCATTGCCCCAGTTACTGTATCAATCCATCTCATCTGGGGTCTTCCTCTCCTGCACTGTCCCTCCACCCTTCCAAGCATGATGTCATTCTCCAAAGACCAGTCCTTCCTGGCCATGTGCCCAAGTTATGTGAGACAGAACTTCAAAATCCTAGCCTCCAAGGAGAAACTTAGTTTCACCCTCTCCAAAACAGACCTATTTGTTTTCTTGGCAGCCCAGAGTATGTTCAAGACTCTTCTCTTCACCGCCACAGTGCAAAGGTATCTATTCTTCTCCTGGTTATAGGTGTTGCTGTTGTTGTGTACCATCAAGTCAGAACCAATCTATAGGTGACACTCCAGTGGGTCTTCAGAGGCAGTTAATTGCATGAGAAGAGGTTGGATTGTCCATCCTTCTCCCATGGAGCAGCTGGTGGCCTCAAACCACGTGCCTTCAGGATTTCAGCACAGCTTC